CCACAATGGGCCCCATTTAAGCTAATTTTGATGTGCATGAGTAGAAACAGTTTTACTTGGGGATTTTCTAAAACAAAAATGATTTTACGAGGGATTGCTTTTCAGTGCTTTTCAGTGCATGTCATTTTTGTAAGAATGTTGGATAGATAAGTACACCCACTAATTTAGCATTGATCAATTCCTCGGCAGTTAGTAGCATTTGAACCGATCCATTTCACTGGACCAAATTTCTGTATTTCTCCAAATCCTGGACAGTAACACCTGACAACTTTGACCTCATGTGGATGTCCCTCACCTGCTGTATCCAACATCAGTGGCACTTTAGGAGCTGTGCTGTGCTCTGGTCATGTCTGACAAATCAGCTTTTGTGTCTGGAGACGATTTTTGGACAGTGTACTCTGCAAAGTCCCTCTCGGTTGCAGATGGTATTTACTTGAGTGTGTATGAATGTGTATGAGGCTATTATTATTATTTCAATGGGATCCCATTTTCAAGTGAGTCCAGACTCTCTCTCTCTCTCTTTGTGTGTTTATCAACACTGAGTATTTATTATAAATTTATTGTTATTACTGAAACATAATAATTATAATATTGGGGGTATGTGTATATATTTGTAATTGAACCAAGGAAGTAGGCGACTTCTTAAAACGTCCATATATTGTCTCATATTTCTGATCTGTGTCATGTCTGGTGAAAAGAGTGAAATGTGATGAATGATCGAGAGTTGAATAAAAACAAAGACATTTTTTGTTTGTCCATGTTTCTTTGGATAGACAAAGAGCACTGTAGTAGCAGTAAAAGTCCTCTAGATGGCAGCCCCTTGAGCGATGATGTCATTTTTTCCCCGGTGTTTTTTTTTTTTTTTTTTCTCCCTCTGTACCATAGTCTATGCCCAATACATTCCTGTAGACCAGGGTCTAGGTCTGACTCTGCAATTTGTGCCTAAGAAAGACTCACAAAATCAAGAACTGTGCTCTAAGAATGAAGCAAATGTGGTGAGAAATTAGTGTAACCTATCAATCTTCTTTACTTACGTTTTTTAGAACAAAAGTATGGAGGGTTTGTTAGCTAGGTTAGCTTAAAAGAAAGAACACGTTGCATTTTAGCTTAAAAAATGTACAAGAGGGACGAGTTAGTGGGACTTGGAGAGACGGACTGCAACCGCAAATGCGTCATATTATAAGTTCAATGTTTTACCACTCGTAACGCACACAAAAAATGGATTAGCAGGAGTGCCAACCACAGACTATATACTGTATATAAACAGCATCTTTATACAGTCAACCACACAAATTCTTGATTCCATTGCATTCCCCTTTTATGTATATATATATATATATATATATATATATATATATATATATATATATATATATATATATATATATATGAAGTGCATGTGGAATCAATGGAAAAAGTGGGACATTCTCTAAATAAATGGGGCAAGGGAAAGCTAGGGGACTGAAAGGAGGGACAGGTTGTCACCCCAGGTTAATTAGGCTTAACAGTAATGATCCTTGTTTCTTCATTCTAATATGTGGGTAGGTTTAAACATATGGTGGCGATATTGGTGACAAAAAACACGCTGTGCCCCTCACGTGTCTGTGGGACCGCCAATCAAACACCTTCTAGACGCCAGCCAGTTCCCTAGCAACCCCTCCTCACTTCTGCAGCGATGCTATTAAAAGCCTCAACAAAGAAAGGGGATCAAAACAATGATAATGTGCCTGAAAACGGAGTGAGGAGCGGGTAGAAGAGTTAAATGAGCTGTCGTGGGGCTAACATACACCTTTGTCGAGGATGCAGCTGTTCTTGGGCTGGTTTCTAGCTATCATGATTAAGCTATAGGTTTACTGTCATTTTTGTCGTTTACCCAACCCCTGGACTGACTAAGGACCTCATGTGACCTATTTCCTAAAGTCTTCATCCTTCTATTTGAATACATAAATAACATTGTACTATACATGTTTTATCTTTTCAGTTCTTAGCCAGACACTGTAAGGCTAGTGTTTGCTAAATGTTAAGATATGACAAAATCTTTGAAATGTGGTTGTTAATTTGTTTTTAGTATGCCTTCTTCTTTGGCAGACAATTCAACATGGGTTACAGAATGTTGAAAATTGGACTGTTGCCATAGCAATTAATTTAAAACTAAATATATCTTTTGAAAGGCAAAAATACCTTAAATGTCACATATAACAAGAAGATGAAACCCATGAATAGCCGTAATCTCTCAAGCAAATTTTAATTTAACACACTAGGTTCATATTGATCAGAGTGGTGTGTATTAAAAGCAAAATTCTCATTTTTTATGTCAAACTTTATTCAGCATTGATATTTACCAATCAACAGTGCATTCCCAGGCTAGCGGTTCATAAGGACCAGTGAGGGAGGCCTCTGATGTTGTGACTGGAAGAAGGCCTCGGCGAGAAATATTCAGTTCAGTAATCCATTCACACGCTGGATTGTTCAAGTTCAGGTCCCTCCTCACATCTTTTTTTGCAAAGTTCCTCAGAAAAGTTCTTCAGAATGTTTTGCCCCTTTTAGTCATCAGTCGCATCAAAGGGCATTGCACAAATTTTGAGCTGGCTTGATATCCCATTTTACCAAAGAGATACCAACAAAAATATCAACACGTACAGACACAGTCACAACAGCTCTGCAGTGTGGAGCCTTTGAATTCTCTTTTGTATCCATTGCTTTTCTATTCAGTTGATAAACTAAGTTCTGTAAAGTAAAGCTTTACAACCATAAACAATACAACCATAAACCTTTCCGTTTTTATCATTATTTTGTATATTTGTATTATATAGTCACAAAAACTACTTTTGACATTTGACAAACATTTACCTCAAATGACATCAACATAAAGAGCCAAAAGTATCACAACAGTAGTATGACTCCATCTCATGTTGTGCTTCTCTCAGAGCTACACAGATGCACATGTCCAGTAGTGTGTTGTCAGTTCACTATTACAGCCTCTGAGTCAGTTTTGTATTTACAGGGAGAACCGATCTGTCCTCCCTCTAGACCTTCATTGCACACTGGACTGACTTAGCACAGCAAGACATAAACAAGATGGCCACTGGTGCCATGGAGAGAGGGGCATGATGGGAGGAGACCGATCCCTGAGAGGCCTGTTGGTGAGTGAGCAACCATGGAGACAAGTGCTGCTGTCCCAAAGTGATTGCACGTCCTCCTGTGGGACAGACACAAGAACAGGGCAGCAGGCTTCATCCTGATATTCACTCAATATGTGCGCCTATGCCATATTCGCTGGCAATAACAATATTGATAATGTGCTAAAAGGTGTGTGCCAATAACCACTGTCCTTAATAGTTTGAAAACCATCCAATTTTGTTGGTTACGTTTGTGCATTTGTGTGTCTTTACATGTTTCTCCACAGAACCTCTCTGAATCATGCCAGTCTCCTCAACATATGACTCCATCTCTCCAGAGTCCCACTGATACACATAAGTCCCTCTGTACCTCCTACCATTTCATTAAAACGGTAAGAGAAATCTTTTAGAAAACTCATTGATTTCTATGGATTGAATTAGGTATTATCTTAAGCCTTGGCAAAGGCACATGGAGACTTAATTTCAGCACTGACTTTTTGTAGATATGTACTCGATTGTTTGTTACACTAGATACCACCTGCTGTGTCTCTATGGGCGGAAAAGTTATGAAAGGATTAATGAGAAAAATGTTGAGTGGCAGCATGCCATGAGAGAAAGCAATACACAGTTCTATGGCCCATACAATGAAACTTTCCACAGCCACTCTTGTACATGCAGAAGGTGGGCTCGCAGGAAACTTCAGTGCAATATAGTCGCTCAGCTCATGCGCTACAACTTGACATTACAACCTTGTTTTCAGCAAGGTGGGCAAATCTATGCCTGTAAAGGTATCCTATAGATGCTATTGATGAGTAAAATTGTATAAGAGACGCAATAGTCAATATTTAGAAAGCCACAGTATAAACAGCAGATGTGGTAGATAGTTGTGTTATTGTCAAAGGAAATTGTTAATATTTGTCAATAATTAGGACTAACAAATCTCACTTGGTAGACTGATTAAAGTACTCCAAGGTTGTGTGTCAGACTCACAGGTTTACAGAACTACCACACTATGTAGTATTTGGACTGTGAATTCCACATTTGAAATCTTGTCTTCCTCCTATCGATATGTAAGTATAGAGATAGGTGGATAGGTCACTCTCCAAGTAGCTTGGAGAGTTATATTGAGATGCAACATACCACTAAAACATTTTTCAAACATTTTCAGAGTCCAAATACTAGACTAGGTTTCTCTAATTGCTTCTTTGAGAATCCCATCATACACATTTCTACCACAGTTGCAAGGAAAGTTCACAATCCTAAGAGTGGATTTGGGACCATTATTAGAAAACTGGTTTCACTCCAGTTCACTTACAACCAAGACTTGTACATCAAATGCAAATTAAAAAACACCATAATTACAAACAATAGATTTAGCCCTTGAATAAAAAAAAAGTCCATTAATCGAGACACAAGTCATCCAATAGAAGCAGAGACGCAATAGTATCAAAGAAATGCAGGCTTTTCGACTCATTAAAATATGCAAAGATTTCCTGTGCCAGTTCTCCATTCTGTATTACAAGTGGGATCCATGGACAATCAAATGTATTGATGGTTTTGTGGTTTGAAAATCCCTCACTAGGATGTCTTAATCCAATCCTAAATTTTCATTTCCATCAGAAGGCAGAAAAAAACATTGAGCTAAGGCATGTAATTGAAATCACGCCTGTTTTTCTATATCAAAGCTCCTCATCCAACTGGTTACTACTATTATTATACAGAATTCTTGTCTCAAAAGGGAAGAAGACCGACCCACTGCACCTGAGGGAGAAAACGAGGAAAAATGGAGAAATTTGATTGATCTCCTGTGCGTCCATTGGCGGCGTCGGCTTGTGTCTGTGATCAGAAGGTATGTGCAAGGAGAGGAGGGAGGGTCAAAAGTCAAAGGAGGTCATCGGGGTTAAAAAAATCAAGGGTTAGCCGGGGTCTCTTTGCCACTCTCTGTCCGTATTTGCTCATCTTCATCTCTGTAAGCTGGATGTACCGGAGCACGTTGGTGTCTGGAGAAATGATATAAAATGAGCCATGTTGAAAGTATAAAAAACACATTGAGAGCAACATGTGTATGTGTCAGTTAGGTAAAATGAGTAGGGCTGTAGTCCTTCAGTCTTTTTGTTGAATAATTGGTTGATGGTGTCTTGGTCGAGCAAAATTAAAAGACCTTATTAGGATCACAGCAGAAACGAGAATGCATGGAGTGAATTAGCTGGAGTTGTGTGTTACTGGACTGTTTAGTCAGATTTTTCACTGTTAAAGATGCTGTTTACTAGTGCTAGTCCTGTTTTAGTTGACAAATTGATGCACAAGATATGTCTTTAGTTGACCAAGAATCAAATACAGTCCTAGAAATGGGAGATGAACCATGTGATGAATGAATGGAAGAAAGAGTGTACTGGTGTGATGATTTATTTGACATGGTTTAGAGACAGGAGCAGAACTTGACATCACATGCAGTACAGATGAAAGAAGGAAGCACTTTGTTACCTGTTGGCTCCCGGTTCTTGGCCTCACGCAGGTAGCGCAGGGCACATTCGTAGTCTCCCAGGTGGTAGAAGGCGATGCCAGCTCGATACATGGCCTTAAAGTGGTCCCTCTGATGACTCAGCACCTTCAGACAGTATTCCTTTACTCTCTCATAGTTCACCAGCTCCGACTGCAACAGGCATGCTGCAAGACCATATCAACCAGACTGTTAAGTGAGAAGAAAATAACACTGTACCTGTGCAGAAAACTGGACTGCAAAGATCTGATGATATTTGCACTGGGTGTAGTGGTCTTAGCTCTGCTCCAGACATGTTAGCTGACTAAAATAAATGACACAATTCTTACAGCTACCAAGGGCAGACCCTGTTTTGACCCTCAAGGCTATTCACTGCATAATAAGTATGCTGTAAGTAGTACATAATATAAGTTGTATAATATACTAAGTGCTGAGCTGTTCAGTGTTTATTTTCTGATTGAATTTTTAATAAGGAATACACATGTGTTAATTGTTAAAGAGTTATCAAAAATCTGAGAATATTTTAACAGTAAAGCTACATGTTTTTTCAATTATGTATGTTTTTAAGATTATTTACTTTAGCAAATTACAATCTATAAAATGTATGTAATTGTGTATGTTGAAACCTCATCTCATGATCATGATGAGGTCTTTTTTGTTTTGTGTCCAGTCAACATCTGCTTATACAACTGTCCTCTGCCTCTCTCCTCTGTCCTTGACACCTCAGTGAGCAGCATGAGTCAGAGACTATTAGCCATGAAGTTAGTGATGGAGGTGATGGGGGTGAGAGAAATATGTGGCACCTATGGGACAGGAAACGCTAGAGATTTGAAAGTGCTCTGCGTGGCCACTACAAAAAAAGACCTGTTTTTAGAGGACATAAAGGAGATAAAGACTGAGGCATCTAACCCCGTGTCTGCAAATAACCTTTAACGGTATAATTACAATTTTACATTTTATTGATTGGTCTTAATTTACTTCCTGTTTATGGTCTTATAGAATGCTCCTAGTTATGCTCTTAGTATATTACATATTACATACATGTACAAAATGACAAGTTTTAAAGATCTTGGCTCAATAGAGGTTACAAACCCACACAATGCAGACAGATGTTGTGTGCTCGAGCAGTACACCTCACCCACTTGACCTATATTAATTGTTGAGAGTGATTGTATAATTACAGTTCTTTCGAGAAGTCATGTGGGCCTAATTGCAACCACAGTAGTATCACTTATTGTTACTACCAAGTTATTACATATTGCAACAAATGATAATATACAGCATGACTGTGTTGTCTGCATTGTGCATTTATTATTATAATCGTACATTTATTAAACTGCAATTGCTTACTATAAAAATAAAAAACAAGTGTGTGAAATTAATTCTTTTACCCATGCCAGCAAACCTGAATACGGGTGACTAAGTAAAATCTTTCATTTCTCCTGACCCCGCCTCTCAACAGTTTACATGCATTTCACATAAACACTTGCATAATATGATCAGCTGCATGTTTTCATTAATAATAGCACTGCGGTTGTGTTTGGCCTATAACATACATTCCTTCATCGTATTGACTCATGCGTTTAGAGCTCCAGGAAGAACAGCAGCAGCACTATCATCTTGTCATTAAGATTCACCATGACTCAGCCGAGTGGAGTCGGCAGGTTGGTTGGGAGTATGTCCTTAGATGACCCTTTATATGCTTCTCTATGCCACAGATAGACACTTTTTGTTTTTACCACTCATCCATACCCTCCTCCTCTGCCTGCAGTAGTGGTCAACATGCTTTCAGAGGATTGTGTTACAGCGCATAATGCTCTGATGAGTTTAGCCATTGTAGGGATCAGTAGCATACTTGACACACACAGAACATGCCCAACCCATTTTGGATCAATTGGGTAGTTTCTGATTTGTAGTTAGATTTCTGCTGATATATACTGTTGTGTCCTTATGCAATACACTTTACACATCATGCTTTGAATGTGTTAGGGTGATTATTTTTTAAGGTTGTTGATGGTTTGCAGAGTGAGCTGATGTCTTGATGTCAGAAAAAGTGAATAATGCATCAAACTGTAAAGCAAGGGAGAGTCAAGAAAGCTTTATGTACTTTATAAGATATGCTTAGTAGTTATTAGTTTATTTGAGGCATTGCAGCATAGGAGTGCATTAATAAAACATGTAAGGTGGGGACTGTCTGGCCGCGCCCTACTGGTCCATTAGGCAGATGGATATCAGAAGGGGGAAATGTGGAGTGTGGTGAGATGCATTAAGGGTGTAATAATGACAGAATCATCAGAGGGGCCAGGATCAGATTAAAGGGCTAATAAAACAGGGGAGTGGTCTAAGTCAAAGTGTCCCGACTCAAAGACACAGACATAGACATTGACTCTTGAAGTTCTCTTGGTGCTCTTTGACACAAAACCAAATTGCTCACCACAAGCACCAAGTCTTAAAAGCACAGACCTTCATTTGTCTGACAGTGAGAGGCCAGCAACAGATAAATATGAATGAAACACAGGACACAAAAAGGACAACAACCATAACAATGTAACAGGCAACCTTACAGCATAGTGCCTGTGTAGACTGATAAGTTTAAAGCCTTACCATGGAACATTCCTGGCAAAGCAATAACATATCCTTGGAGACAAGCAAGTCTTGGGCCTTCCACCAGAAAAGATACATGTTGCACCTATTATAACTAAACAAACCAACATGGCAAACATGCATGACACAAAAGATGTTCTGAGCCCTGTGTGGTCTCAGCATCTGCTGTGCTGTATCCTCGTTATGTTTTGCCTCACACTTTTGAGACAAGACTGTCACTCTCACAATATGCCAGATGCTAGTTGGCGCTCATATAAAACACAGATATGATGCAAGTGAGTCATTCAGTCTAACACAATAAGAGCATTTCCACTCATTACATTCAATGCACTGGATACAAATACTGCAGATGATGGATGTTATGGGATTGAATCCCACAAAGTATCCACCACCTCCTAATTGTCTGTTGGTTCCAATACAACACACATGCAAGCTAGAACATGCTAATGCTCAGCTCATTGCACATGTTAGTACATAATTTAACATAATTTGCATATTTTTATAGCCATTATTTACTTTTATATGTACGGGGTTGGGTCATTTTAACTTTTGAGTGCATAATAAAAAATGATTCAGATTTTAAAAGTTGTAGAAAAGTATTTTTAGACCTCAATTTGTATTGCATGTAAAAGACACTTCTCCTTGCGCTATCAATTTACACCTTCCTGTTATGTTCCTCTGCCCAAATTAGTTGCTGACTCAAGATAAATGTTCAGCTCTTTAAATATTTATACAGTTAGATAGATATCCTCCTCGTGGACTCTTAAATCATGTTTTCTAAAGTTTCAGGGAGCGTCAGTGGCTTAGTGGTTAGAGTGCTCATACACCAACTCAAATGTTTTCACCCCACTTTGCCTGTGTAATTGGTAAATAATGCAGATTGAAAGCCTTGCTTTTGTCAGTCTCCCCTAGGGTAGCTGTGGCTACAGAAATATTAAACATTAAACATTAAACCCCTGTAAAAGTGCTGCTTAAGCCTAATACATTACTATAACTATTATTATTATTATTATTATTTGGATTCAGCACAATTAGTACTCACCTCGATCCAAAATGAGAGAATAATACATTATCCATTACTGTTCTGGGAACAGGCTTGGATTCAAATAGGAGATAAATGCAGTTTAATAAAGCACAGATGGGACATTTATTGGGTAATATATCTATAGTTGAGCCTGGCACAGATGTAATTTAGTTGTGGGCCAAAGCCAGCCTATAATATGATTGGTATCGTTTAAGACACTGTGCAGCTGCTTGCCTTTAGCACTGCAGATCTCTGCTTCGGTTTATTACTATAAGGAAACACTCCACCCAAAATTTTTAAAATACATACACGTTTGCTTATTGAAGTTATTTTTGTCTCCTCTCCTTGACAAAATAACTTGATCCAGTGAGCCAAATTCTTTGGCACTGGGTGTATGAGAGTCAGCCAGCAATAACAGTGGGCATACATTTAAAATTGAGGCAGGTTTTCACTTTTGTCATATTTTCTTGTTCTACCACACAAATAAAGAGCACACCAGTTACTGCCCAGCCAAAAGTAAACTCATTTTCACCAGTGACTTGAGAAAGGTTGTAAAAGTTGCCATGAGGTTGAGAGGCTAATTCACAACCTTTGACCAGTTCACAATAAATAAGACAGAAAAGTCAGACGGTTTTGTGAGTGAAGGGCTGTAATAATAAACAAATGTGTCATTGCTTTTACGTGTGTTACTGGAGTGAAGGTCACTGGGCAAAGGCACAATAACCCCAGTGCCATCAAAAGTACCATGTCGCAAGGACACACTTTCAATGTCAAGGCCCAGCCCACAGAGATGATGAGAGCTGTCAGGATCAGCTCAGACAGGACGCTGTCAGTGTAGAGCAGAGTGCCGTGCAGCACTGACTGTTATGAGCCAAGAGCATGAGCTGATCTGTCATTAAAAATATCAGTGGACTACAGGGAATCTTAATTAAAATAAACAGAATTCTTACACAATTTCACAAGATAAACAAGATTTATAGCATTATATAAAGCAATGAGAACTATCTTTTAGCCATAATCTTGTAAGATTACTATATCTGTGCGTTTCTACATTCAGAGCAAAAACATCTTTGAGCAACTGGCCTTTTCTAGAAGAGAATATGCCTACTTTTTAGCTAACTTGTCAACATACCAAGAAAAAAATAAACAATACAAAAATAATCAAGTAAATTAACGAGAAAACAAACATTAACAAACATAAATAGTTTTCACTTTTATCATAATATTTTACCTCAAGCACAATGGCCTTGGATTAGACTTGTCTTTGATCGTAAATCTGTGAGGTCTGACTGATCACATCTATTTTGAGAGTTTGCCTGTCCTGTGTGTGCCTTTGCTTATGACAGATGACCCTCCTGACAGGAGTCATCTGGGCCTGCCGGGACTGCTGTATAAATTAGTTTGATCTGCTGGTGGTATTTTACCTCTGTGAAATAAGACATAGCACAGATCATAGCTCCGCTTATACCTAATCACTTGCACAAAGCCCAAGCATTGCTCTGCTGCTCGTCAATAGCTGATATAGCAAAGACTTCAGTGAGTGGTGAAGTACAGAGAGTGCTCAATGCGGTGCCATCTGCAGCTCTGGCACACCACTTCCTACAACCCTCCCCCTCTCACCCTGTCAGAGCCTAGCCCACATCTTCCCTCACAGGCATTTGTTACATTGTTTTCTACTTATGTTATCAATTCAGTCAAAATTCCCCCGGTGAAGTAAGGGAGTGTCAAGTTTCCTTTGAGATTAGAACCCACTGGGGGCTGATTTAAAGGTTAGAAAGTTGAGTTGAAGGATTGTGCTGTCCGTGGTACTAAACATACATGCCAGATCCATGTACTTATAGGGCTGGGATTATGGCTTGACCAAAAAAAGTAGTATTCCATTAAAGAAGATACTGCAAATGAACTATGTTGTCTTTTTGGCACACAGTACAATTGATGACTACCACTGTTAGCATGTCTACTGAAAACATGCAAGCTATAATTAGTAGAATATTGATCATCTGCCAGTCACATGCATTCTGTGGTTTAGTCAGGTCAAGATTTCAGTTCAACCTTGTTTCTTGCAAAAAATTGTCATTTCTTACATTCTTTTCTGCCACAAAGACTATTTTCTGAAAAAAGCTGCTGCAGAGAAGAGATCAGTGCCTCCTCGCCTTTGAACAAAGCAACCCAGTTAGATTAGCTCGAAAGGAACATGATCTTGAGGTGTGCTGCTATTAAGGTCAACAAACAGGAAATTCATCATCCATTGCTCTCTGTTTGACACAATCAGGTAATATTTCTGTTGGTGCTCATAGTTATTTGTGAAACATCTTTAAACATATTACCTTTGAGTTCCCTAGTGGAGCATTGATATTCCTATAGTGAAGCCATGTTAGTTTCATCATAATTCATCATAACTGAATAATGCTGAATCACATAAACACATGCATCCTGAACAATAGCAGAGCATGCAATCTATGTGAATGTGATTATAAAGGGTGATAGTGGGTGAGGAAGTTGGAGGAGAATGACAGCACTCAGTACTTTTCAAATTTTAAACATTGTGATAAGTTTTCTATGGATATTATCTGGAAAAGCTCGTGCCACCACCCCTTAAATTATGCCCTAAGACATATGAGAATATATAGGTGAACTCACGCTTACACTGTCCTGTTTGAAGCAGTGCTGGGAAAGGCCCACTGATGTTGCCATGGTGATTTAGGCCCCCTGTCGCGTGGCGCCAATTCTCTTGCCCCTTTTGCTCTTTCACTTGGTTTACACCATCACGCTCTCGCTTCTATTTCCATAAATGATCTCAACTCCCTTCTGCTGACACCACATTCACCTTTTTATTTTCCGACTGCAATTCTTCTGTTTCTGCTTTTTATGTCCCCCACCCCCACCCGTTCCTTCATGCCACGCTGGCCTCCCCAATGTCCCCAATGGCTACAGACAGGCACAGTGAATGGGGCGACCTTCACTGCATGTTATGGTGAACTGGCATAGAGTCAGGTTACAGAGTTATTACCCACACAACCAGTGCTCACAGGAACAATGGGCAGCGATGAATTTGGGGTAATTATGTACTGCTATTTGCAGTCTGTGAGTCATTTTAATACACTGAATATTAAGGATATTGAAGTCCATTTTTAAATCCTGAAATGGGTAAGATAAGATCTGATCTCATTTGACCTTCCATAAGCAGGCTTTGTTGAATTGAACAATTTGTACCATGAGATGATCAGGGAGAAAAACTGTGGAAGTATTGAACAATGGTATTAAATCAACCAATAAGTGAACAAGTACATTTGTTTCTGTGGTAATGACTTGGTTTTGCCTGTATTTCTTTTTGTAATTATATATTGCAATGCAAAAATACTGAGTCTATCCTTTTTGTAATCAGACAGGCTATAGGTTACATTTGAGTTGTGAAGATCAGAAGGTTGTGCTTTTTATCACCTACATTGATTACACTGATTGTCAGTCTTGCAGACTCATAAAGCTGCACCTGCTTTGTCACTTCCTGTTTTCAAACTGTGCCATGGCCTCAGCCTTTAATCACAACTATTGAAATTCTAGCTTTTCAAAACTCTTTTATTTATATAGCGTATCTTCTTATGTATCCCCATATAGCATTACTTTTAGCTAAAAAAAAATTACTAGACTTCTTGTAAAACGTGAAAGTCCTCACAAAATGTATTTTATAGTTTGAACCCAATGAAGCTGGAACAGAGACAGCAGTAACTAACATATTTCGCACGTGTCTCACCCGTGAGGCTGTCGTAACACTCAATCTCCGTGCTCTCCACGGCATTGCGCTGCTCCTCGGTCAGCTTGGCCGCCGCTTGGTTCAGCAGGTTCACCTCGGAGCCCGTGGTGTTGTCGACCACATGCACACCTTTGAGCTGTAGCAGTGCGCGGTGGTATTTCCCTATCGCTTCTCGAAATTTCTTTTCTTTATAACAACGATGACCCTCTAATTTAAAGTCGATAGCTTTCTGAATCTTTGCCTCCATATCCATTTCCGCCGAGCCGCCTCGGTACCCGCCGCCGTCCCCTCCCCCGGCAGCTGCTGCCAGGCTCCGACCGCCGGTCTCCGGATAGCTCTTCAGGCTTTTGATCTGGTGCTGTTTGGCCTCCATATCTCTCAGTGACAGCGATTGGAGCGGGCCATGCTGATCGGACACATACGCGTGTTTTGGGGATGACCTGAGCAGCGTGCTGTGCATAAAGGATAACTGGACACAACCTCAGAAACCGTCCAAAAATAACAAAAAAGAATATGATTTAAAGGCGTTTGAACTAAACCCGGCAGCGCGTTGATTTTAAATAATGAAAGACTGTATCGAGAGACAATCCCAGAGAGTACACCGTGACGAGAAAAACAGTATTCGGGAATGTGCTTTCGCGAGATGCTCGAGGTACGCGCAGCTTCAGCACCACGGACAGCGCACACAGCACAACCCCTGCCGCAAAGCACTGTGGGAAAAACGAAAGTCGTGAGGGGATGCTGCAGTCGAGCTTTTACAACGAAGCAAAGACGGGAGCATATGATCTTAAAAAAAAAAAAAAAAAAAAAAAAAAAAGACCAGTTTTCTTTAACTATGCAAAAGGCCGAATGGCAAAACGCGTGGTGAATCACCACTGTTTTCTATAACTGAATGTCGTACACTGACTAAAGCTGATTTATGCTCCAACCATTTCACTATAATAACTTAATTTTGGCTAATTATGACTAACCATTAAAAGAGCTCGTGCAGTACGTTAGAGCATGACGTCACTTCATTGTAGTTTCGACATAATCTGTATGAGCTGTAGACTGTATAAGCCATAGTCTGTATGAGAACATCGTAAAACTGCTTGAATTTAGTTTTCATCTCATAAACGTACCATGACATTGGATTACGGTCAAAAATGAAATCTGAAAATTTTATCTGATAAGGTTTTCAAGAAAAGGGCATCAGCAGGAGGTGGCAGCGAAGGGCAGAAAGAAAAAGGAAGCAGTGAGATCAAGCGGACAAAGGGTTGCTTTATAATACGTTGAACGCTTAACATTTATTTAGTGGTTTGTAGTGGTGGTCAGATTAAATTGTAGTACCTGTAGTACCGTAATAGAGATATACATAAGAAGGAGGATAAGTCATGAATTATTTTTTCAAATACAGTTTATTTGTTTTGCTTTTTATCTATCTTTTTTCAAACTCATGTTTTTTTCCATTTAAAAAAAATGCTGCACAGTAAAACATGGGATGTGTTCTCAAATAAATTTTAAATGTTTAGGATAAATCATACACAGGTGTCACTTACAGGAGGGTGTTACATTAACACCCGCATAGGAAAAAAATAAAACAATTTTTTCTGGGTAGTCTGCAAGCATATGACAAATTCACCCAATACAAGGTCTATGCAAAGTTAGGAGGCCTATGGTACATTTCTTAACATGAATAAAAATAAACTATTCATACAGAGGTAACAATAATTTACAAGTTAATCTGTAAAAGTCCTGTTTTTCTTCCCCAGTTAATCACATACATACATCTTGTCCTGTTTAGGACAATGTTTTATATTTTATCCTAAGAATGGGATGCTGAAGCATAACAAAACGCAGGTAAGAATGGCTTAGGTCAAGGGTGTCCAACCTTCTCCTCAAGGGAAACACAGATGAGAGCCATAGATTGGTGGTCAAATACAGTGAAGAATAAAAACAGGAGCACACTGGTTAGACTGAACCACCAGACATTTACTTAGGCTTAGAGCCTCAATGGGAAACATTGCATGTTTGATATAGGGTTTATAAAAGTTAGATATTTAAAACTTTTGGGCCAATTCATGAGGAAACCTGAGGGCCAATAAAAATTGGTCTCAAAGCTGCATTTGGCCCCTGAGCCATAGTTTGGACATGCCTGGCCACATAGGTAACATTAGCCAACCTCATGCATACAAATATTTTTTTAGCATTAACCAAGGTGACGAAATTTCTAAATAAAAATCAAATCCAACAAATACAGTCTTGTTCAAGGTTAAAGTGGATATTTTTTCAATGGCAATATAAATAAAAAAAAATATCTAAAAGTGTAAAATGTGAGTAACCATGAGCTAAGGCAGAATTATTACTGTCCCTTTCACTCATTGAAATTCAGTCAATGGCACTCTGTCATACACTCCAGTCATCAAGTATCAACATCTTTGTGATGCCAGGAAAAGAGGTGACCAGATCAAGTTCCGGATGTATCTTCAGAAAGACACATAAAATAATGTGTTAGGTGTTTTTGTTGCCAAGTCTCTTGAAGACGCTGACAGCTCTTGCATCCATTTGAGCGCCGTGCCCGTCCCCTGCAGTTCCAGCGCCAGTGCTGCTGCTCACTTTGGAGCTGGCGATGATCAGTCTCTTTTGGGCTCTGGGCTTGGTGCTTGTAACCCGGTTGTCCTGTTCATCATTAGGAGGGGAGGCAGCGCACGGAGGTGTGCCCAGTCTCTGGAGAACACTCATTTTTGCTGGGGGAAGGCCGTTTATGGTGGAAGAGGTAGGTGTGTCAGATGGTGGCAGTTTGAATTTGCCTCCCAGTCGTCGCAGGGTTGTGGGCTTTGAGACGGTGGGCTCCTTCTTCGGAGCAGGAACAGATTTTTTGAGGACTCCAGCATACTGAAGTACAGATCCCTCTCCATCGCTGTCTTCCCCCTCGATCATGCTGTATGCTGGCTTTGTCTGGTCCTCTTCACGGGTTAAATCCAGTCTGCTAAATACTCCAGTGGGCTGAAACAATAATAGCACATTGAGCATCAAACTAGCACTTTAAAAGAACACTAAAAGCAAAACAATCTCACCTTAACACTGGCTGTAGTTGTGTCTGACTTTGATTCAGCTCCAAGTCTTGCAAAAACAGATGTACGCTTCAGACCTGTAAATAAAAGTAACAAATTACAAAATAAATAAAACTAAATAAAAGCAGTGACTCAAAACTAGTTTTGCTGTATTTGTCCCTAAACCAAGTGAACAGGTGAAACTAATCTTTGATGCCATTTCATTAGTTTTTATTAATAAAATGTCACAGACACTAAGCCATATCCTGCACTTTTTTTCAGTTAGGACAGCATGCATTTACTCATAGGAATAAATGCAATAGAAAAAGATTGTTTTTAATCAGCAGACCTCTGTAGGCTTGCAGTGTTAGTAGTGATTATTGGAAGTGAGCATCAGCACTAACACTTAACTGCAAGGCGCTCACTTCTTCACAGGTCGGTCCTACCTTTCTTGGCCTGCTGAGCCAGGATGCGGCGTGTGCGTGCCGTAGTGCCTTTGGGCATGTTGACGATGTACTTGCCTTCCATCTCAGCTGTCACACGTCGACGTTTCATGGCAGGCACACTCTTCCCCTCATCTGCTGGCTGACTTACAACTACCAAATGCACAGCATTTATTAAATAGATGTGAGGTGTGTATGCATTAAAATATATGATGAAATGGGGATAATACAAACCTGCTTTGTTCTTTTTGTTTCCCGGCACATTGGATACCGTGACAGAAAGACGGTTGTCACCTCGTCGCACTGGAGTTGCTGGTGGAGAGTCATGGCTTAGAGCATTGGCAATCATGCGAGTGGCAGCTAAAAAAAAAAAAAATTTACATTGTTAGCCTTAGGCAAATTACCCAAACAAAAGCTATTAAAATTTTTGAGCCTTACGAGTATTGGCAGTCCTTCGCAGTTCAGCCTGCACACTGGTCTGTCCTGAGGAGATTGCTTCTGTGGCCATTTTGCACATGTCCTATCAAGTGAGGCAGGATTTTAATGCAGAATTATACAGAATTAAGAGAAAAGGGTGAATCTAATGCTCAACTTTATTACCTGTCGGTAGACTTGTTTGGCATGTTTCAGAATGGCAATTATGTCACCAACAACTGTGATTCCTAGGTCCATCATTATGTCTTTACTGAGGTCCATTAGCATATTCTTTTGAATTCTGTATTAAAAAACAAATTACAGACTAAACAAATATTCAAGCAATATTCATCTACAATATTGTTTTTAAATATTCACCTGTTGTCTACAAAGGAAACTGCGTATGTGACTGCAAGGCCAGCAGGAATGCCAGCATCCTTGAAAAACTGAATCCACTCTGACGTAGCTAGAAAGTACAAGGGGGACACATGAATTACTAAATCTATTGCAGAAAACCGCAAACTACATTACCTGTACTTTAAAAAAAAAAAAAAAAAAGGCTGGTGCATACAATAAAGCATCTCGTTAAAAAAAAAACCCAACAGTCCGTTTAAACACGATGGTGAAACTACCAGTGGAAGATGAAAGTGATTGAGAAGAGGAACAGCTGTTTAACACTAGGCATTACCAAACAGAGACTGAGGAATGTGAGGGGGCAACATGTGAGCTTCTAACGCATACGACATCAGTGACTCACATCCACATTTAGAACAAGTTACGAAATTACACCGAATTAAGATCTGAAAATTAAACGCATGTTTGATCTATAATATTTATTTATTATTTACATTTTATCTTTTTATTGGATCCGGATCGTGGTTTAAGGTTGGTGTGGTACTCCAAGTTAAACTATTTCAGTGATTAGGAGCGATATAAGGAATAGACTATATGTGTGCAAGCCTAAACATTTTTAACAATATAGGCCTATCGCATGCATCATAAGAACAACACACTAGCAATAGCCACATTAGCGTCCTGTGCAAAGTCTACGCCTTCTGTCCTTTTACATAACCCATTTTTAACAAAGCCAGCACTGAATCCTACTTTTATACAATACAAACACAATATAATATAACGTTTGCTTAATTTAGAGAGTTTGGAGCCCTACACCATAGGTTTTCTGTTCGGTTACCTGTGCTCTCGGACTCCATGGTGGATGAACAAATGGGCACAGACGTCACAGACTGGACATGCGCACTTCTCTGCGCCTTACGTAACTTCCGTTCTTTAAAAGCAGTTAAACGCATGAGACGGCAGGGGGCGACAAAGACCGTACTCTCAGAATTGGATCGCTTCTTGGGTCACAGTCATCGATCTGTTTCTTGGATCTATTTATAAAAAACTGTCTTGTGTTAAACTGTGCGTCTTTCTTGAAATTACACGCTTTTTTCCAGAACATATTTATAATGTCAAGACACTAAGGCATACACAGTTGAAATAAAGTGCCCATCATGTTTATTATGAGGCTGGCCTTTCAGTACATTTTGATAATGTACTGCCAAAAGCAATTGAATAGACAATAAACTGTCCTAAAATACTGTCGAATGAAATAAGATCACCAAATTCTGTTTATATTTCTGTGAATATCCTGACAGCTGCATCATTGTATATTCAACGAACAAAATAAAGGTCAGAAACGTTCTTAAGATCACTAAAATAAATAAGTAATAGATATTTTGTTCCTAGTACATTAATATTGTGAGATTCTAATTTCAAGAGATAAAAAAGCCTACAAACAAAGAAAGGTCAGTAACAATTTTTATTCAGTAGGCCTAAAAGAGGTTTATTAAATTTATTGGCTTCTTTTCAGTTGCTATTTGTTTTGAGTTGGGCCTAAAGAGGCTAGGTTTACTGTTGGTTACATGGAACTAATGTTTTTTTGTTCCAACTTGGACACAAACAAAACCTGGAACTAAACCAGGACTAAAACAGGATCAGATGTCTACATTTGGATTAAATCAGGCTCAAACAAGGACATGGGCAATTCTGCTGTGCCTTAATGACCACATAACTACTATCACATAAGTAGCATATTTCCATCAGAAATTTTGACTCTCATATAACATGTTTGCATAACATTATTTCTTTTCTTTTAACAAAGAAAGAAAAAAGCAATATAACATAGTAGCAGACAGATTGGCTTTAAGTTCTTTGCTACATTGTTAACCCAAAGAGGGTGGTATTGCATTTATAAAAGGAAACAAACAAAACAAAAAAAGCAAATGGTTACACACAGTAATATGCTCTATTTATAGTATAGAAAAATAATTATTTTCAGCAATAAATCAAGTAAGTTACAATACAGTACAAGTAAATGCAAACAGTTCCACTATTGTAAAAGTGTCTTCATATACTTCTTACATGTTTTCTACTTATAAATGTATACGTACACAGGAAAACAACAGAATAAAATTCATATTGTGATAACCTCAGGAACTGACCTGAAGTGCATTTCCAGAACTGAGGCTCGTAAATGTCTGCATCATGTAGAAGCCTTACCTGAAATCTGTTTTTACAAATAAATAGTCTACTGTGGGCCTTCAAACCTTGGTAACTTGTTGCTTCAAAATTGTTGCCATATTTAATGTGAACCTGGAGCCTCAGAAATCAGGTAAATGTGCATATAAATGGTGAAACTCTCTTTTCATTGTTATAGTACATTTATGAAGTAGCACCAACATAATATATGAGAACTTTTCAATGTGTTGTGTACTTTTTTCTGTTGCCAAAAAAAATAATCACATCTACATTTGATTTGGAGTCAAAAGCATCTCCAGCATCAGAACAACACATGTCCTGTTCAAAAAACTCCAAGGTCTGCCCCATTTCTGACAACCGTGTGCCACATTTAAAGTCAAACATTTGTTTCCACCAATATAAAAACATATTTATTTATTTATTGAAAATAAAATATTTTATCATTCAAATACAGTTACATTTTCTGTTTAACACATTTGCTTTAGCACATGTACATTGGAGCAACATTGCACAGCACAGGTCATTCAGCTATGTTATTAAATGATATGTTTATACCAGCAGTAATGCATATTAAATATGATAACTTATTTTAACATTAACATTTGTAATTATATGTAATAAGACAATCATTTGCTCTAGGTTTACTTTTTGTGCAGCTGCTATATTAAGTGGCATTAAGGTGTCAGTAGCTCTGGGACAGACCTCACAGAGAAAAACCAGACAAACAAAAGCACCTTTAACATCGTCGTTAAACCTGTCTTGAATTATGTTTGATGCTGTACAAGACAAACGCAGAGATGGAGGCACTGACGTTGTGCTTCACGTTAGGGGACAGGGCACTATGCAAACTTTTCTTTTATATAGAAAATATTCTTTTCAAAACTAAATCTTTGTAATGTAGACATTCAAACAATACAATCATGGCACAAATATGTACATGATACATGTCTATATGATGATATAGACAGATAATTTCATTTTGTTACGGTTAAAACAATTTAGTGCGCAACATGCCAAATTATGATACAAGAAAAACAATCAATATGCTATAATAATGGTAACAGTTTGTAGAGACCTCTCCTTTTAAAATTAACAGCAACAGTACAAGTGAGAACAGAAGTCATTGTAAAACTATAAAACACAAACAAACACTCAAATATATTCATTTCAGACATACAGGAAAAGAAAGTTAAATTCACAGGTAAAGACCATATACTTGCTTTACAAGATTAGCTGTTTTTTGTGGTCTTTTTGTTTTAGACCTTTGATTACAACAACCTCTATAAAGAAAGAAATAAATAGGCCTGGTGTCTCTGAGTGGAGGCACTCAGCAATAATTCACCCCTGCCTCATCCTGATGAAGGAAAGGACACCACTGGGCCCAATATTTAGAGGTTGTTTCCATAAAATGTCTTCTTGAAAGGCATTCGTTCACATCTGAATGGTAAGCAGTAAGGCTGGAAAAAGAGCTGGTGTGCAACATCAACAAAGTTGCCATCCTCAAATAATGGAAAGATACTTTTGTTAATATGCACCTAGGCTCTGTGGCGTGAGGTCTTTTCAGTGAGGTTTCCCTCTCAACATGTTTTGCTAAAGCAAACACTATTTCACTATTTGGCTCTTGGTGTTCTCATTTGGTTTCAAAAGTCAGATGAAGGGTATCCTCCTTTAAAGGCATCTCCATTTTGCTGCGAAGCAGCGCTCTTTTTTTCTTCATCCAGCACTTCATTAAGTGAACATTGAATATTGGCTCAGCTGTAGACAGCAGCTGCCATCTTAGATTTTGTGTCTTTATGCAGAGTAGAGGTCCTCTTTTGATATAGGATGCATCTACTGCAGCGTAGTTCACCAAACAGGACTCAGCTCTTTAGGTGGTTGCATCCCAGTCCTTTTGTGAGAAGTTGGAAAAAGGCGAGTTAGTTGGCTCTGCATTCACTCAAGCTCCCAAGGGCTGGAAGGAGTCTCCGGGCTCTCGGGGGTCGAAGACTTTGAAGACAGGAAGAAACAAAGACAGAAGAGGAAAAACAAAGATGGGTAGAGATGGGTCGCATGGCAGGTAGACAGACGGACGGAGTTGAATATAATAGCAGAAAGTACTAGTTTAAGTGCAGACTGATCAAATCCCAGGTCCAAGCAAATGAAAAAGCAGGGGGGAAGTTGAGCAGATGCAGAGTGCAGTAAATGAGTAGGAATCAGATCCCTTAACTGGACTAAGTGTCCTATGACCCTATTTGCTATTTGCACTAATATAACCAGCAAAAGCAAAAGGAGAATAAGAAGATGAGAAAGATGAAAGCCAATGCACTGGAAAGAGGCAGTCAACAGAGGGAACAAGATTGGGGCACTGGTGCTCAATAATTAGATCTTTTAGTGTACACTCACACTGAGTTTGTGTGTGTGCACTGGTACACAAGATGATCAAGTTCATCAGTAACGGAATATGGCTATTATTCAATTTTCTGTTCAATATTTCTTCACTTCAGAAATGTGTGTGGGGTGTGTTGAGGGTTTTGAAGTTTTACTACTTTTTCAGCAAACTTCACCCCAATGACAGTTAAAGAAATACTTTTCATTGGAACGGTGAGGACTAAGTACTTTGTACTTGCCTCACTTTGTTAATGCATCTTGTTAGTATGTGTGTGCGTGTCATCAGTCAAAGCGCAAGCAGCGAGGGTGAGTTCAGGGAATCAGACGACTGCTCGCTACTGCTGTTCCGCTGGTTGGCACTGACCCCGCAGGCTCCCTCTGGGTAGGTGAACACAAATGAAGATGTGTATGAGGTGTTGTAGCCAATGGCCGCACCGTCATGGTTACCACCACCACTGTCACTGGCCATAAGGCAAGGCCCACCAGGTGCTGGCTCACTTGAGCCATAGAAAGAACTAGAAAACTCTACCTCCTGCATTAGTCCGGGCTGAGGAGCTTGCTGCACTTGCTGCTGCTGGACTGCAGGCTGGGAGTGTGCGGACGCTGGGTGGGTGGGGTAGGCGGGGGGCAGGTAGAATGAGTCTTCCTTCATGGTCAAACCCACAATGGACACTGGGCCCTGTAAGGTTGGACCTGGCAGTTGTGTTGAGCTTTGTGATGGCTGCTCCTGGTACACCAACTTACAGTTGGGCTGATGGGCCACCAGCACAAACTCCAGACGCTCCTTCTCTTTCTGCAGCTCAGAGATCTCTGCCTCCAACTCTGCCTTCTCCTCCTCCAAAATGTCTGTCTCCTGTGAACATGTACAGAGAAAAATAGAAAGGGGATGAGGGAAAGAACAAGAGCTGTGTTAAAGGTGCACTATGCATGTTTTATGGTGAAGGGTCCGTCACCTGATTATTTCATGAAAATGTTAAAAAAGGAAAAAAGAAAAGTGATTTGGGAGAGTTATATACTTGTATCTATGGAGATTGCACAGCTGTATGTATTGTAAGAACTGAATAAAATGGGTTTAATCAGATACAGTTGGGGATATTGATTTTTTTTTTTTTTTTTTTTTTGTTCCATTAAAACAGAAAAATCTGTTTTATTCCTCCAAAATCTAAAGTGATTAAAGTGACATAGTGACATTTGATTGTTCTTGCGGTCATCTTGCATGGAAATTTTCCTACTGCTTGGAGGTGTATTATTATTGATAATAATTAAGCTGATATCAGAGAATGACTCACCGACTGAAGTCTGTCTGTCAGTTCTCTTCGGCGATTTCTGCATTTGGCTGCAGCTAACTTGTTTCTCTCTCTCCGTACACGTCTCTTCTCTTCTTCCTCTGGTGTTAACTGTAGTAAAATATAGTGAAAAAAATTATTATTAGTATTGCATTTTAGTGTTAATCTCATTTATACTTCCAAGATTGTATATAATATGTATGATTAAATATGTCTGGTAATGTAAATTTGTCATATAAAATTACTTAATGATAAAATAAATGCTATATAATAATTACACTGACTAGCGGGCTTTAAAACACAAAACAAGTCAAGCACACACTTACTAACACACCAACATCTCCATCTTCACTCACAGACACGTCTCGAGTGCGGCGGCTGCGGGCTCTAGACTGGCGTACTGGGCCTGGCCCTGCAGTGTCTGAACCCATGGGGGTCATTCCAGTGCCAGTGGAGTAACTAGTGCCGGGCAGGTCATAGGGGTCAACCAGCGACACTGGCTGGGTCATAGTAGAAGTGGCGGTGGACGCACTCTGTCCAGAGGCCTGAGAGGAGATGAGGGTTGGTTGTACCATCCACTGCAGGTCCTGACTGGTGGTAATGGCTGTCACAGTGGGCACAAATGAACCTGGCATCTCACCTCCAACACTTGACCCGGGCCCGGTGCTCACAATGTTCAAGCCAGCTCCTGCTGACACACACTCCTGAGAAAAAGAAATCAAGAAATATGCCAAAAGAGAAAGAGATTGAGATTGATTGAAAATGATGTGTTGGGCCCAATAAATAAATTAGGATTTTTGAGATAAGCCTACGTATAATGTTTTATAATAGTATTTATAGGCGCATATGTAAGCTGTAGTTGAGGTAGGACAGAGACTCTAAAATCAGCAGCGGCAGCCACCACGACCAATCATCTTTCTTTTTCAGTCTTCTGCTCCTTCTTCCTCCCCCGTCACGCCTCCGGTGTTCCCCTTGGCAACGCGACGTAGCGCTCCAAAATAGAAAGCGCATTTACGTCACGCCCGGGCCTGTGAGAGGAGCGCGCACGGAGGGCGGGACCACGACACTGACGTCGGAGATTTCCAGGACTGTGTTCATCCGTTTGCGGCGTGTTGTAAACCCAAACCACGCTCTCATCTCAGCATGCTCTGTGCCGGGTGCTTTCAGGCAACGGGTCTTATAATATACCCCCTAATTATAACGACTAGCCAGAGGCCGATGATGTACTATAACAAGGTTAAGAAATGCTTCTTACATAATGGCAAAGTTCTGCTATTTAGGCTTCTAATTGTATGGGGGGACACTGTAGCATATATAAACCTACCTGTGGAGCACTGGTGGTTGGCGGGCTCCCGAAAGAGTCCACCGAGGAGAGGTATTGGGACTCTATAGACGGTGATGAGCTCCCACGGGATCCGCTGTCAGGGTCGCCGGGGAAGCCTTGGTACATCTCCCAAGGGGGACCTGTAGCGACCGTACAGAGCGAGGTGTCACCTGCACGTCAGGGTAGCGGCACACACAAGAAGTTACTAAAGAAGGCGTACTGTGGGAGAGACGGGGTTTTGTTAGCCTAATGTATCCCAGTGGTGCAATCTAAGATCTCTCCAATGTAACTCCCTAAATATAGAGATTACATACGAATAGCCAAAGTTTACTCTATCTATAAAAGTTCTAACATGACCTTTTAATTTAACGTACCGGTTAATTTTTTGTTATATCCCGGGGAGATGCTCCTGGTTTCTTTCCAAAAAAGTTGCATGAAGAAGCTTAATCCAGTTTCCTTCGTTTAGGGAAAATGAAAGCCCGTTTAAAATATTCGCTTTAAAGAAGATCTCAGATCAAAATGTGCTATAGTAGATCCATGTAAAGGGAGTCCACAGTCCGTCGGTATTACGGTCTTGTAGCCGATCTTGTCTTATGAATGAACCGTGCTCTTACAACGAAGAAGTCTACATTGGGTCCCGCCTTCGGAGTTCCGCTATGCTGACGTACATGCCCATATTTGTCCTTATGTGTTGTGTTTGGTATCCTTGGTGACGTTGAGGGAATCCCTCTCCCACTGAAATGGACCAGAAGTATCTCGCCGACGGATAATAATAGTTTTTTTTTTTTTTACTATCACAGGCACAAGATATTTCTAACCACCTAACTATTTATGGATGGAAAATTTAGGGTTCATTCAATGTCATATATCGACTATATTTGTAAATTATATTTTAAATAGTCTACTTGTAGCCTACGTTTCGCGGATCGTGTGTTAGAACTGCAGAGACGAGGCTATAGGATATAGGCTTATTCTGTCGATATTAAATTCAACGATTAGCCCCGTCCCTGTTGTGTGCAAATGTTTATACACAGCCCATAATAACATATACCCAGCCATGCGCCTTTATTAAAGTGTCTGACAGAGCTTACAAGGCAAAATCATGTCGTCTTCATTACGAGACGGGATTCCATCAGGTAGACCTATGCGAAGAGGGAAATCCTGCTGGAAAGTTTCTCAGGACACGCCCTCGGGATTGCCCTGATCTGGGAGATTAACGACTCTGTTTACAGTTGACACACCTTTGAGCTATAGTGAAGTGTACACATGCCCATGGTAGCCTACAGAAAGCAAACTAACATAGTTACAATTTGAGTTACTGTAGGCCTATAATGAAATCTGGAATGTAGACTAAACAGTGTGTCAACTGGGCAGTGGTGACAGTTATCGCAAAGCACTCACCATTACCGGTGGCTAGTGTGATTCATTGGGGTAAAGAGTCTGGCGGGTAGGAGGCTGGCTTTGGTGTAGGGCTGCACTGAAGGCTCTGTGAATCTTCAATGAAGGCTACAAGGCAGGCATTTAGCTGTGATGTCAAACAATGTCACGGGGCGGACATGCTGCGGTGTTTGGGATACAGCCTCACTCCATGTGTGAAAAGGCGTGAGCAAGAAGGAAGAGTAGGGGATAACAAGTGTTAGTCAGCGCTACAACAACGTCAGAGACGGATCGGCGGAGGACGTTGTGTCCCATTCGATTTGCCGTGTTGTGCTACTAAACGGGATGACTAACCTTACCCTGTCGATGTAAGTTTCACAGGAATTATGAATGCATGCTGTCGAAATAATTATAACAAAACCCTTTTTTCCTAAATATCATAGTTTATTTTTAAAAATGTGGCTCCAACTGCCCTAGCCACGATGATTTGTAGAGAACAGGCTAATAGCTAATAATTCAATAAGAAAATAGATGAGCTTACTTATTCTGAATATTAGGGATAGTTTAAGCAGCGCTGTCTTATTTACAGATAACCTGGGATGTACTGATCAATACGGTACAGCTTTACAATACAGTCGCCATGGACACGGAAGAACGTATAAACTTGTTGTGCAGCCTAGCAACCGGTTTCCTTGGTTACTGGTTTCTCCAGTTACACACAATATGGCTTCCGGGTTGTTGTCGGAAAAGTTCTGCTAACAAGAATGCAGCGATTGTCGTTGTAAAAGCACAAATGTCCAACCTCCAGGCAAAACGGTTTGCCTTTTTAACTCAAGGACTACTAAACTTTGAGTCTATGTCCGACTTGTTTTAACTTCTTACTACATTTTTACTAAGGTTACCAAATCCAGGACAACCTGTATCGTTAGGACTTCGTTTTTCACTAAGGAGGGAAGTTTCTAGCGTTTACAGGGAATGTAACTGGCCCTTACGTTGTATTTTTTTCTGCATAAAACGTAGCGCAATTGCTATTCTTCTAAGGTAGTCTTACCTTATTTATTTTTTCCAACTCTGTTTCCATCTTTTCAGACTGAGCGAGAGTCGAAAGAAAGCGTGCAAAGTCACTGACAAACTCGCTCGCTTGTAAAATTAATTTCAGACAACGAAATTGTAGCATCAACTTCTGAGGGTTCCAACCATATGAGTTACAACTCGCAGTTATAGGGACAAAATTGCATGGTTTGTAGTACCCTACCAAAATAGGCTTACTCTTTTTATACAGAGGCTAACAGTGAAATGGAGAAAATTTTCCTTGATGCTACTCTAATTGTTGTTGAGTTGTTATTAAACTTGTGGTGGTCTGCAGATGAGAGGTAAAAATACCCCTGTTGTAAATATATTGTAAATATCGTATGTGCTTTGTTTTGATTGCCTCCTGTCTCTTAGCATATTTTCGGGAAGCCACCAACTTCTTTGAGCTCCATAGGCCAGCCCCTCTTTCCCTTTGGAAGGCGGGCCATGTTTGCCTGTTCTCCTGCCCAAAATATTGTTACTAGGCAACTGTTAGCCTGGCCCACTTCAGACTGGTGTTGTTTACACAGCTTCTGGCTTCATATCATAACAACATTACATAAGTTTTGGGCTGTTCCGCTTTACTATTTAAAAAAAAAAAAAAATTAGTGGACTTGAGCAGCAAAAAGCTAATATTCAGACAACAAATTTAGATTATTCAACGTCAAGCTTGTACTGTTGGCAAATAATAGCAATATGTCTGAATTTTTTTATAATCTTGTAACATTTATTTTATTTATTTTGTTTAGGCTATTTAATGTGGACAGTGGACATTAATAAACTATTTTGTAAATGTGCAAGAGTTATCTAGAGAGGCAGATAGTCATCTGTAGTCCCTGGGCAGTGGTCACAGTAAAACACACCAATGACACAACAAGCAATTAAAATGCAGTCAAGATACAGAACAGATATAAATGACCATTAAGTACAATATATTTTATGGCCATACCTGCTCTATTGAGCAACATTTATTTTTTTTTGACATTCCCTTGAAACCCACTTTCTGTGCCTCTTGTTGTAATTGCAGGATATTGTGTCAAATAAAACAGCACAAGCGTCAGGATGGATGTGTTGTGTCATGGGCTGCTGCATGGGAGTCAGATGCCTGAAGTCTGATGCTGTCAGTGGGCTCAGTATTGCAGAGCTCTGTGTGACTCAAGCAGCGTCACTCTTAACCCACTTTAAGCATTTAGAGAGAGAGGCTCAGTGCCAAAATTGCTGGACAGGCAGGCTAAAAGTCCCACGAAGGTCAAAGAAAAGGTCAGAGTAGGAACTGCACATGAAGAGTTTTTTTTAAATGAAGGGGCTCTGGGGACTCTATAGACTCAGTTTCCATTTTACAATTGGTTGCATGATTGTTCTAATGTACAATTATTTGATGATGGCATAAGGTCCTATTTTAACCCATGGGGAAGTCACTATAGTCTTCAGACAGAAAAGTGTTGCACCTGATTTCATTTTGTTAGGGGTAAACCAGGACTAAACTAAGACCAAACCAGGATTACATCAGGTCTAAACCAGGACTAAAACAGGACTATCACAATTTTTGACTAATCAGATCCTAGCTAACAGTAAAGAGGAGCATAAATTATAATTTGTTTAGCCAAAATACAGAAAATGACAATAATGTGGAAAATGCAGTGTCAGAAGTCCCTCAGGTTATGTTGCACACTCTTTTCACAATTTTATTTATACCAACCATCCCAACTGGGGTGTGTCCTAGTTTTGAATTTTGAAAATCATGATGATTAGCTCTTTGGCTTTTTTTTTTGTAAAGGTAGCTCGCTGGACAAAAAAAGTTGGAGACCCCTGATCTAAAGGCTTAAAGTCCTTTGAACTGGCAGTAATCACTCCTGTGATTTAATGCCCTCACATTTTTATGCTATAGTAAAAAAACATTGGACCTTAGTTATGTGCTGACAGCAGAGAATAATTTTGAGTTAGCTTGTTAGTTTATAAATTTACAACAAAGCAGGACAAAATGTTGTATTGACTCAAAAACTATTGCTGAGATTTAAACTATAATACTCCAGTTCAATCCTGTTTCCCATCTCCCCAACCCCCCATCCCCCATCCCTCTCCACTCCCTCTCCTCCTCCCTCTCCATTCCTTACATAAGGGCTGCCCTATTTTTCTGGGACTCTAAGATGTGGGAATACATTGTGTGGGAGCAGACCTGGCAGGCAGACGCCAGTGTCTTGAATGGAGATGGAGGTAGGTCTGGGGGGTAGGACGTCAACAACACGTGTCCCTTTCTCCCCCTTACCTTGTGCCCACACATTGCACCAACTCCACAATTACTCACCACTCCCAGTGCCCCCACCGCCTGATGAACCATCTTGGCTGTATCATCTTCCCCCAAACAGGATTGTTAGACCCTTGGACTTCCTGTTAGGCTATTAATCATGTTTGGAGGAGCTTGTGAGATTTAATTAAACAACTTAATAATAAATAATATTCAAATTTTACATAAATTATCTAGATAAATTGTGTACCACTGGAAGACAACCCATTGACCTTTCTTTTAAAACCAAGACCAGGGTTTTAAAAGAAGGGTCAGTGGATTGTCTTCCAACAGTACACAATTTAGAAGAATATTAAAATGTGTAGATGACCGCCACCAATCACACTGTATGTCCAAGGAGCATTATAACATTATAGAATTCTTCTTTTTATTCCTGTATTGTATTGGTAGTGGTATGATAATAAGTTATTAAAATTGCCTAAAAGGGCTTTAAGATGAATAATGAGTTTTTTGTTAATAGCAATGCAGTCCAAAATGCAGTTGACCTTTTTCAATTATTAAGGAGAATTTCTACCTATTTAGCGATGAACAGTTTAGCTAAATTTGATCACACAATGACAAATTACAATGACTTCGTGCAAAACAAACATTTGAGAAGCCAGCAGGGCCTGGGGAACTTAACTTTACTTAAGGTCATTATAACTAAAGCCACAGTACAAACTCATCCAACAGAAATTCAGCATTAGTCTAGAGAGCTTAACGTTATAGCTTATATATTACTTGTATTACTTGTCAAGTCAATTGTGCAAATCCAAACAACTTTGTATGAAAAATACAAACAAAACATTCAGGTCATGTGGATGTAAAACCTGTTTTCACTTCAGAG